TGGGATGCTGGGAATCGAACCCGGGTGGGCCGCGTTCAAGGTAAACGCCCTACCCGCTGTGCTATCACTCCAGTCCCTTACTGTTTTATTTTAAACGTTTACTTATTGTAGTTTAGGTAACATAATTATAACATTGACTCTCATGGTTTTGATGAATAAAGTTACTGTACCTTCACCACCAACAAAGTACCTGAGACCCTCCACCATTTTCCTCTGTCTCCTCTAGTACACTTCATTCTTCCTCTCCTCTCTACTTTCCCAATTTAATTTTTTTGAACATTTAAAATAAACTTAACTGATCTGGAAAACCCCACACTAATATTTCTGGATGGCATCAGCACAAGTAACTCCATACTGTCTCCATTCTAGCCCAAAATCTTGTAAGACCAAGTCAAATTTTCCACTAATTAACATAGGATAACTCTGATTAATAAACACCAATAGGGGGGAAAGTATTACACTCAATGTTATAAGTATAGATACACATTTTTGAGACATTAAATTTTAAATGTTTCCATTTATCAAAACTCTAAATTACATTTAAAATATACTTAGGTGTTTAAGGCACCCTGAATTATATTAATTTTACTCTACCATTCAGATGCCAAGTAAGATAAAACATAAAGGGGATGACCCAAATGCAGTTCATAAAAAAAGATCTCTTCAATTTTATTAAAATTTCAGACATGCATACTGACTTTCCTTTTCTCTGTTTACAGTTCAGGGACGAAACCAGTCATACAAAGTGTGTTGCTTCTATGTCGTCACTCACCGGTTTTCCAGTGATGGCAGCTGGTTCTAGGAAGAGCTGTCCAGTCCCATGCTCTTTGATACCCTGAATACAGAGCCAGGAATAAGCCCTGAGTACCACTATTTGTGGCCCCCAATCTACAAAACAACAAAACCTAAAACTTAATTATAATTCAATACACATTCTTCTGCAATTTGCTTACTTTTTATGTCTTGTTTTTGTTTTGGGCCTACACCTGGGAACACTCAGGGCTTACTCCTGGCTCTGTGATCAGATTCTCTCCTGGCAGGACTCAGGGAACCATGTAGTCTGCTGGGGAACAAACCCAGGTGAGCCATGTGCAAGGCAAGTACCCTATTCACCGTACTATCACTCCTGCCAATTGTTTTCCTATTATGCAAAGTTACTGTTCATTTTAAAAAATTATCAGCTGAATTTTTCTAAATTACATGGCCTGTCTCTCCTTGTATAAACATTTGGGTTGACACAACTGGAGAAGCTGCTAGTGTTTGTAAGGCTGTTCTTTCTGCAGCTGGTGCTGAAACTCGAAGACATCAGGGAACATAGAACTGGAGGAGGACAGATCAAGCAGGAGGTAGAACTGACGAGCAAGAGCCGGGTTATGTGAAGCTGGACTAGCCCTCATGTCAGTCTCTGAGCTTCTGCCATATAGGTGTCTTGCAGTAGAAATTGGTGCCCTTCTTCACAGGGTAAAACATTTACATTGTTCGGAGGTCAGAGAAACTGAAGTCGGATCAGAAAGAAAGCAGAGATTCTGTAGATACAGCTACTGACCACTGACAACAAAGCGAGCCAGTGAAAAAGCAATAATGTGCATAACCCACAACAGAACCTGCTGCCGCTAAACAAACCTTATTTTCATTTTATTCACAATGTGTCAATATTGTTCACCCTTTCTCCCCTTCAGTTCCTGTTTAACCCCTGCTTTGTAACCTTAGTTCTCTTGTACCCAACTGCAAAGACTTTTCTCTTCTGTCCTAAGGCTGCCAATGCAAAAGTGATGTTTCTGCTAAACCTGTCTCCCTTGGCTTAACCGTTCCATGTACAGTACAGATATCCTAAACGACAAAGCTTATTTAATACTTTTTTTTTTTTGCTTTTTTGGGTCACACCTGGCGATGCACAGGGGTTACTCCTGGCTCTGCACTCAGGAGTTACTCCTGGCGGTGCTCAGGGGACCATATGGGATACTGGGAATTGAACCTGGGTTGGCTGCATGCAAGGCAAATGCCCTACCCGCTGTGCTATCTCTCCAGTTCCCTTATTTAATACTTTTAATGAGCTTAGTCATTATAAGTTCATAGTACTTTTCAAAGTATTATAATACTTTATGTAATACTTTTCTTTTTCTTTTAGATTTTTATTAGTGAAACACCATGAGGTACAGTTGTAGATTTACACATTTTTGTGCTTGGGTTTCAATTGTACAATGATCGAATACTCATCCCTTTTATGTAATACTTTTCAAAGTCTATTAATCTCATAGAAAATTCTGTTATTACCTCTCTCACATTATTATTCACTACTGCAATCCTGGACTTCTGTCACTACATGCCCCTAGAAGAAGGGAACCTCATGATTGTCTTATCTTAGAGAACTTTCTGATTCTTGGTCATATTTATTAAAGGCTCCCATTGGAAACTCTAACCTGACATCATTTGTTAATGTATTTATCATACCTCATTGAAATGAAGGTTATTATTTTGCTTGTTAACTAGCAAACGTCCAGAGAAGAAACATACATATTGGTATTAGGAATACTTCTGGAGTTGTATATGGCTTTAGGATGCTTTGGAAACAAAGAGTTTTCATCTCTACTAAAAGCATGGGGGCTGTAGAGAGAGCACAGTGGGTAGGGCCCTTGCATGCATGCAGCTGACCCAGGTTCAATCTTTGGCATCCCAGAGGGTTCCCAGAGCCTGAGAAAAGTGATTCCTGAATGCAGATTCAGGAGCAATCCCTTAGCATGACCACTCCAGATAAAATAAATAAAAGCCCCATGGACAAGTGGGCTAGGTTTATGCTTTTCATGAAGGAGGCCTAGTTTTCCAGCACTGCAAGGTATCCTGGGCACTACCAGGAGCATCCCTGCACATGAACAGAGGTGGTGGAAAAATAAGAACGAGGAATTCTTTTATACTACCTTAATTCCTAGAGATGGGGTATTTATTATAAATAATTCATATAAAAAAAACCCCATGGGAACCAGAGACATAGTCTAAGGATTAAGGTGTTTGCACTACATGAAGTAAGCATGGTGGGGTAAGATACTACTAGCACACGGTCTACAGAGCACTGATCCTGAGCATTGCTACTATGGGCCAAAAAAAAAAATTAGGTGAAGATTACAGTGGGGAGAGCGGTGGGGGAGAATGAAGTCATGCACTAGAAGTAACAAAAGAGCAGTGGTAGAAGGTCATGGGTACCTCAGTGGTGAACACAACTGTGTACAGGAAAACTATAAACACTGGGAGAGAAAGTGCAGGAGTTAAAGGTAAAACCCTTACCTTGCATGAGGATGCAGTGACTGTGACTCTGGGCATTTGAAATAGAATCGCAGCACTACATCGGCATGTGGTTGAATAACTTCCACTGGGTGTGGCCCAACCTCACCAAAACAAATAAACCTATAAACATTACCAAGTGCTGTAACCATGCTATCTAAATTATACTAAAAATAATTTTTTAAAAGTGTTGGAAAATTGGGCCGGAGTGATAGCACAGCGGGTAGGGCATTTGCCTTGCACGCGGCCGACCTGGGTTTGATCCCCGGCATCCCATATGGTCCCCTGAGCACTGTCAGGAGTAATTCCTGAGTGCAGAGCCAGGAATAACCCCTGAGCATCGCTGGGTGTGACCCAAAAAGCAAAAAAAAAAAAAAAGTGTTGGAAAATTTCAGGATCCAGGATGTAGCTCAGAGCAATGCATGTACTTTACATGTGAGACTCTGGGTTTATTCTCATACACTCAAATAAGGTGGCAGCATGGTGGGGAAACTGTGAAGGCAGCCTGAGAAGTAGAGGCATATGTATGAGGAGAATGTTTTACAAGAGGCTCTTAATTCTAGCCACAACAGCACCAGGTGTGGACTCTGTATTCATACACATATACATGTATACATATATATACTTTGTTTAAAAACTCAATATGCCTAAAAACCCAACACAAATGACTTTGTAAATCATAGTGCTTTAATAAAATAGGGATGTTTACTCCTTCCCCTTACCCCACCATCAGGTGATCCTAGTGATTCAGTTCTCCTGGGAGTGACTCCTATTAAAAAACAAAGAGTTGAAGCTGGACCGACAGTACAAGGGTTAGGGTAATTGCCCTGCAACGTGCCAATCTCTGTTCAATCACCTGGCACCATGTGGTTCCCTAAGCACCCCAGGATCAATTTCTGAGCATAGAGCCAGGAGTAGGCCCTGGGTACTGCTGAGAGACTGCTGAGGGCTACAGAGATAGTACAGCGAGTAGGGTGCTTTCCTTGCAACCTTCAAAGACCTTGGGTTCGATCCCGGGTACCCACTATGACTCCCCTGCGCCCTTCCAGTGATTACCCTAAGTACAGGCGGGTGTGTCCCGCAACCAACCATTAAAAAGCTGACACCTGGGCTGCAGTGGCAGCCCAAGAGCGGGGCGCCATCCGGGGGTGCATCCCGGGCACTGCCACCTCGCCCCACGGTCGCCCAACCCCGGCACAGAAAAGCCAGGCCCACAATGCTGCGCCCACTGCAACACAGAGTGGCTCCGGGGCCCCCTACCCTGATGTTTCAGCATCCTGGCCTCCCTAAAAGGATGAGCGGGACTAGAAGGTTAAAAATGATTTTAAAAAATAGAGGCCCGGCTGGCCTGCTCTCGGCCTCGGGATGCAGTAGAGACTTCACCCCCTGCGTCACCCTGGCATTTCATTCAGCCCCGCTCTGGGGTACCTTACTGGGCAGAGATGCCCACGGAGAGTCTTGGATCCTTGGGCAGCTGCTCAGTAAGGGCCTAGAGGAAGTTGCATTTCTTGACAAAGCACCAATGTCCCGCGGCCCCGCCAAGCTCCAGGGTGCGCTCAGTTGCGAGGGCACAAGGGTGCACGAGAGGGCACGCGAGGGCACGGGAGGGTAATTGGCGTCGGAAGGGGCGGAGCGGTGGTGCTAGAAACCGTATAAGGGGGCCCAGAAATCCCGCCCCGCGGAAGTCGCTGGGATCTGGCTCTTGGGCTGCGAGGGTCTTTAGCATGTGCGACCAGACAGCTGCCTTGGGGTCCACGGGGAACACCAGGATGCCTGCCCCGACCTTGGACCGGCTGCAGGAAAAATCACTTCCACCACCACCCATCCACGTTCGGCCGTGGTGGTTTCCGGTGGAGGAGCTGAGAAACCCCTTGGTGTTTTATCTGGAGTCCTGGTTGGCTGATATTCTCTTTGGTGAGCCTCCTGACCACTCCGTCTGGGTGGTCTTGCCTCCACCCGGCCACTCCCGCCTCGCGACTGACCATCTAGTCTCTCTCCCTGCTCTGTACCACGTTTAATGCCAGGATGCCCGGCGTAGCTGCCAGCTCTGCCCCTTCTTCACAAGCCAGCGTTTCTTTCTTTTCTTTCTGTTTCTTTTTTCTTTTTTTTGGCTTTTTGGGTCACACCCAGCGATGCACAGGGGTTCCTCCTGGCTCTGCACTCAGGAATTACTCCTGGCGGTGCTTGGGGTCCCTATGGGAATGCTGGGAATCGAACCCGGGGTAGCCTCATGCAAGGCAAACGCCCTAGGCGCTGTGCTATAGCCCCAGCCCCCAGCCTTCCTTTTTATTTTTTTTTAAACTTTTTGGGTCACACCCAGCGATGCACAGGGGTTACTCTTGACGGTGCTTGGGGGACCATATGGGATGCTGGGAATCGAACCCGGGTCAGCCTCATGCAAGGCAAACGCCCTACTCCCTGTGCTATTGCTCCAGGCCCCCCTCCTCCCCCGCAGTTCTTTCTTTTCTTTTCTTTTCTTTCCCCCTGGTTCCTTTCTAATCTATCCCCACCTGACCTCTCTGTCCACGCCCTCCGAGCCTCTTTTTTACTCTTTTTTTTTTCTTTTTGGGTTACATCTGGCGATGCGCAGGGGTTACTCCTGGCTCTGCACTCAGGAATTACTCCTGGCGGTGCTCAGGGGACCATATGGGATGCTGGGAATCGAACCCGGGTCAGCCTCGTGCAAGGCAAACGCCCTACCCGCTGTGCTATCTCTCCAGCCCTCTTTTTTACTCCTTAGGCGCTGACCGAAATTCCATACCGCAAATGGAGTGGCTCAGCCAGGTGCTCCTGACCGTGAACGCCTTGAAACAGAGAAATTTAGTGGAAATCGCCATCTTCGGACGCCCATGCCAACAAAACCGGACAAAGAAAGTGCTCCTGAACCTGGCACTGCGGCACAGGCAACAGCGTAACCGAGGTGAAGGTCTTTGAAAACTTGGCAGGTGGACAGAGTCAGGGCTAGACCTGGCCTAGCTTTGTTTATAGGAGGGTGGTGGGGGGCGGGCCACACCCAGAGGTGTTCGAGGTGGTGGGGGAGCTAGAACTGAGGTCCACAGTCTTCACCCCTGTACTTTCTCCAACCCCTGATTCTTTTGGGTTTTGCACTTGCACAAATCCCAGGATGCAGCCCCAGCACATCTCTCTGGGAGAATCTTTGCCCAAACCTGGTCTTGGAAAAGTTATCAGAGATCTGATACATTTGGGGCCATGGCTACCAGTAACTGCATCCCCTTGATTGTGCTGTTTTCAGGCTTCCAAGTCCCCACGCTGAGAAAAGTTGTTAGTCCTTGCTAACAACTCCAGTTCTGGAGTAGCTTGAATCTGAGCTTTTCCTTATTTGTGTTATCGATTGCTTTTCCTACAGCTGAGAAGATGCAACGACTTGAGGATTCCTTGAAGGGACCTTTATTAGATCCTGATTTTGCATAAGTTTTGTTAGCATTGTGGTCACTCTGGATTATGCACCTAGAGTTTGAGAAGCAAGAATCTTTTATTTACTTATTTTTTTTCTGTATCTTGATTGGCTCTATTGTTTTGAGGCAAGCGAATTTGCGCTGTTCTAATAAAGATGATTTCTTCATGTCATTCCATAAAGACAACTTGTTCACTTACAATAAAGCAGATTGATAAAAGACTGACTTTTTGAATTCCTGTCTTGATCAGATGATCAGAGGGATGGGTAGAAGACTCACAGTGGTTTTTTTTTTGTTTTGTTTTGTTTTTGGTTTTGCTTTTTTCTTAGTTTGAAACTGCAATCCAGGTTATGATTTTCAGGTCAGTGTCAGATTCTCAAGTATGGGACAGATTCCTTGTCAGTCTGCTTCGGTTAAGGTTTTTAACTCACTCAATGACACATTAAGGTTTTTAACTCAATGACACAAAGAAATTTGTGTCATTGAGTGAGTTAAAAGCCTTAATAGCTACTAAGGCCCCCTCTCCAGTGTTTTGATTTAGTGCGTTATGGCCATAATTGGCTTGTAAGGTTAATTTAAGGCCCATGCATTAAACTAATGACTTTGTCCACCTGCCAAGTTTTCAATTAAACTCTGAGGCTCTCACTTTGAAGCTAGAGCTTTCTTCAGGCAGTGGAGTACTGTTCCTGCACTCGGGTTGAATTTCTATAGCGAGTCGAGTCAGTTGACATTTGTTCTGGTCCTGCAACTTACTAGGGAAGAATGGGGCCTTTGGATGGATACCTGGGGGGTTGGAGGCAGCCTGCTCCAACTCTTTTTCCTGCTCCTGCTCTTTTTTCCCCTGACACCAACACAGCTGTCCTGCATGAGCTGTTTTTCTACCATACACCCATGCCCAATTCCTGCAAAACTGCTTCTATCCTTGCCTTCACTTTCAGGAAGTAGGATTCTTTGGGGGAGTGGAAACTAACCTGCCAAGAGTCCTGTGCCCCCAGATAAAGTTGGGTGTGATGTGACTCAGGCAGTCTCTTGGCCACTGAGATGAAATAGATCTAGCCTTCTTCAAGGACTTTAGTTTTTTTTTGCTGTGAGAGGGATAGAACCTTCTAGCCTTACATATGCAAGACAAATTCTCCACTGCTGAGCTATAGACCCTGCCTGGAAGGGTTTTATTTTTATACCTTATTGGTTGATACCTGATAGTGCTCAGGGTTTACTCTTGGATCCTTTACTCAAGGATCACCTTTGGCAGTGATCAAAGACCATATGTGGTGTCAGGGATCAAACCCGATCAACCACCTCTAAGGCATGCAACTTACGTGCTATACTATCTCTCCTGGGCTGGAGCGATAGCACAGCGGTAGGGCGTTTGCCTGACAAGCGGCCAACATGGCCGACCCGAGTTCGATTCCTCCACCCCTCTCGGAGAGCCCGGCAAGCTATCGAGAGTATCTCGCCTGCATGGCAGAGCCTGGCAAGCTACCGGTGACGTACTCTATATGCCAAACACAGTAACAACAAGTATCATGATGGAGACGTTACTGGGCCCGCTCGAGCAAATCGACGAACAACGGGAGGACCGTGACCGTGACCGTGACCGTGACCAATCTTAGCAACCTAGAGGGGTTTCCTCTGTACTCCTGTTCATTACATATGCCAATATAGCATTTTTACTGCCTTCATAATCTTTTAATATCTACTAAGAGGAAAGTTGCTATATATATATATATTTTACAGAATTTCGTGGTAATTTTAGATGTATATTTATCAGAGCTGATGTCACATACCAGGCCCTGTGCCAAACATAGGAGGCCTGGAGAGTTAGTTACATGCCAAGATCACCGAGTTAGGTTGTAGGGGTCCTCAACTCTAAGCCATGCTTTTTCATTTGCTTTTATTTTTCCCCACAGCTGAACGTAGACTCACTTTTTCATCATTTTTTAAAGAGGAATTCAAATAAAACTCTTGATTTGTAAAAAATCAACTGTATTCAGTCTACTGAGACACAGCAATTGAAAAAACTACTGAAGTAAAGGAACTAAAACCAAATCCAAAATAAAAGCACTATTTGATATATTTTTAAATCATTTTTTCGGGGGCCACATCTGTAGGGGCTCAGGGTTTACTTCTGGCTCTGGATTCAGGGATCACTCCTGGCAGTTCATGGGCTATATAGGTTGCCGGGGCTTGAAATCAGATTGGCCAAATGCAAGCAAGTGTCTACTGACTGTAGGACCCTTAAAATTAAACTATATAAGAACAAAGAGATGACTCAAAAGATTGGAGTTCATGCTTTGCATGATACAGTCATGGATTTGATCCCTGGGATTACATGGTCTCCCAAGCACTGAAGGGAGTGACCCCCAAGCACCACCAACTGTGACTCAAAGTCCCCTCACCCCACAAACCAAAAAGCTACATACTCGGCTGGAGAGATAGTACAGCAGGTAGGGCATTTTCCTCGAATGCAGCCTACCAGATTTAATCTCTGACACCACATATGAGTGATCCTTGAGCTCAGAGCCCAGAGCATCACTGGTTGTGACCCCAAAACAAGACAAGTCATATAGTAAGTATTCAGATAACTTAAAAGTTTTACTAGGGCTGGAGCGACAGCACAGTGGGTAGGGCATTTGCCTTGCCTATGGCTGACCCACATTTGATTCGCAGCATCCCATATGGTCTCCCGAGCACCGCCAGGAGTAATTCCCTAGTGCATGAGCCAGGAGTAACCCCTGTGTGTCACCGGGTGTGATCCAAAAAGAAAAAATTTTTACTAAACAAGGCCAGAAAGACAGTACAGTGGGTAGGGTGCATACCTTGCACTATTACAGTCCCAATACAAAATAACCAAAATGTACAAAACAAAAAACAATGCAAGACTAAATTATGGTACACTCAACACCACAGCAACTTACAACATAGGTAAATCTAACAATTCCATTTATATTTCAGTTGGAGTATATCAACCTCTGAGGCGAATATAGCCAGGGCTTCTGTAATATTGTCATTGTTCCTTTTCGTCTCTGCATATTGGCTAAATGGATGGATTCTTTTGTTCAATCTTTCTCACATTTTTGGATTTGCATGTTTTTGGATGAATAATCTGCACCAACAAAATATTTACTAAAACAAAGTGAGTGATGGAAAGCTATTTGAAGGCAATAAACTTTTATAATATCTCCTATTTTTGGTTTGGGGGACACACCCAACAATGCATAGGTGCTACTCCTGGCTTGGTGCTCAGGGAACCATGTGGTGGTGGGGAGCAGACCCAGCTCTTTTTTAGGTACAAGGCAGTCTGTCACTTGCCCCTTCTCTTTATAGGTAAGGAAAAATAATGTACAATGAACTTAAATATGTTTTCTATCATACAAGTAAACGGCAGAATCAAAATCTGTACCCAAGTAGCTTATGTTCTGAGTTTATATTGCCAACTACTAATATAAACGTAGCTTATATTGAGTTTAAGTTGTCCCTAGTGTCAAAGGCAAGACAGGGGACAGTCTGGATAGCCTAGAGGGTTTCTTCCAATCCACCCTCCTTGCCAGTTCTTGCACCACCAGACACCCAAAGGCTCTTGGGAGCAGATTGGAACCAGTTCACTTAAAAGTAAGAACTGCAGGGCTGGAATGACAGCACAGCGGGTAGGGCGTTTGCCTTGCACGCGGCCGACCCGAGTTCGATTCCCAGCATCCCATATGATCCCCCCAAGCACAGGCAGGAGTAATTCCTGAGTGCATGAACCAGGACTAACCCCTGTGCATCGCTGGGTGTGACCCAAAAAGCAAACAAATAAAATATTAAAAAAAAAAAGTAGAAACTGCTTGGGCTTGGAGAGGTTTTCCAGTGAGAGCTCACTGAAAGACCTTTCACCTGGAAGAGGCAGATGCTCACGGTGAAGGAGAATAGTAGGATAGTAGGAGCACCTGCAGCTAGCAGAAAGCCTGCTGCCTTCAGGCTGGAAATAATGTTTTCCCCAGCTTCTGGGTAGAGAGCAGCCCAGAGAAACTTTCCTCAAGAGAAAGGTGCCTTTTCCTCGCCGGCACCACCTTCCACTAGCCAATTAACAGACAGTTCATGTAAATTAACAGGGGGGGAATTCCATTCTTTATTAGGATTTCAGATTTTTCTTTGCAAAGGTAGAAGGGAACACCTAACAACCCACACCATTTTTTTTTTTTCCCCTGGAAGCTTCCAGGGTAGCAGCGGGACCTAGAAAAACCAGAGAAGCGTTTATTTCCACTTGCTTTCTCTTCCCGACTTGAAATGCCTTTAGAATCTGATAACCCGATTCAGGGAGGAGGCGTCGGGGGAGCGAGGGATCCCGGCCTCTCGGTGCGCGCGGGGCGAGCGCGGGTTCCCGGCCTCCCGGTGCGCGCCGGGGGAGCGCGGGGTCGCCGCCTCCCGGAGCACGTCGGGGGAGCTCTGAGTCGCCGCCTCCAGGAGCCGGTCGGGGGAGCACTGGGTCCCGGCTTCCCGGAGCGCGTCGGGGGAGCACTGGGTCGCCGCTTCGCGGAGCGCATCCGGGGAGCGCCGGGTCCCAGCCTCCCGGAGCGCGTCGGGGGACCACTGGGTCGCCGCTTCGCGGAGCCCGTCGGGGGAGCGCTGGGTCCCGGCCTTCGGGTCCGGGAGTGCGTCGCGGGGACGCTGGGTCCGGGTCTCTTGGGCAGGCGTCTTGTGGGACCCTGGAAGAATAGTGGATACTCCGTAAAGGGTGTCGCCCGTCGCAGTCGAGCCGTGGGGACCGGAATCTTGAGCACCTGGAAGTGCGTGTCGATCCATTGAGAAGCAAAAAATCCCACCCCCAAAGAAGTGAAAGATTCTGCAGACCTAGAAGCCGAGGCGCGTCTAAGCCCCTCCCTCCCCCAGAAGCCAGGGGGCTGGTCCCCGCCACCCCTTCCCCACTCCCTGCAGCTTACTCTGAGTCCGGAGTTGGCGGTGATAGTCAGCCAAGTTCCCGATCATCTTGGACACGTCCAGCTGGTAGTAAGGACGGCCGAATATCAGGATTTCGGCCTCGCCCGCGGGATCCCACCGGCTCACGTGCAAGAGGGTCTGGGACGTACACTCGACGTGAGGGATGTGCTTTCCACCCCGGCCTGCATAGGAAGCAAAGAGAGGCGGTGAGTGGCCGGGGACGGAAAGGAGGCAGGGGGTGGGGTGCATTGGGGCAGCGCCCCTGGAACCTGCTGTGCTGGGAAGCTTCTATGCAGGGGAGAAGGCGGGAAACATCGGGACTGAGGCTGCATTTTCCACCCACCGAAGATCGCCTCCACCAGCCACCCCTCCAGGTGAACTGTCTTGGGATTCTTCAAGTAGTCCAGGAGAAACCAGTAGGGCTTCTCGGAGAGGTTGCCGTGCACTTTGAAGAGAGCCCCCTCGCGCTGCTCCAGCTGCAAGAGCGTGGGAAAGCGCTGCGAAGGAGCCATGCCGCCACAACTGCGAACCAGCTAGCTGGGAGCCGAGTTAGTTAGCAAGGTGGCTGGGCCTGGGCCTGCGCCGTATTTCAAGGGCTTTTTGGCAAAGCCCCTCCCCGCTCGCGTGTTTCTTATTGGGTACCAGTCGTTCCCTCCACCCCTCTGCTTCCCCACCTCGCCAGCGGGCAGAGCTGATTCCTGGGCAACCCTCAGGTCTTGCCCTTTTGCAGCAGTGCGGTAGGTAGAGGGGAAGTCGAGGGGAGAGGCGGAGCCCTTTGTTAGAAGCTCCAGCTTGGAGGGATAGAGAACCCCTATCAAGGACATCGGGAGAGCAAGAGCTCCAAAAATTAAGGTGGAAACTGCCATGCAAGCCAGATCTACTCCTTGGAATCTACCGCGTCAACACAACACGAATTCAAAAAAGATACACTCACGCCTATGTTCCCGACAGTGCTATTTATAGGAGCTCAAATCTGGAACCAAGCCGAGTGTCCAACATCAGGTAGTGGGTGAAGAAGCACACAAACACACACACACACACACACACACGGGCCGGAGTGATATAGTACAGCAGATAGGGAGTTTGCCTTGAATGTGGCGGACCCGGGTTCGATTCCCGGCATCTCAAATGGTCTCCTGAGCACCGCCAGGAGTAACCCCTGTGCAGCACCAGGTGTGACTCAAGAAAGAAAAAGAAAACAGATCTCTTCCACTCTCTGAGAATAAGACTTAAGAAGCACACACGATGAGCTATTAGTGCTTAGCTCTAAGATGAATCCTTGTGGTTTGCTACAACTTTGATGGAGCTCAATCAAGGGTGTTGTATTAAATGAAACAAATCAGGAGAAAGACAAATACCGGTGATCTTACTCAAATGCGGTATATTAAAAAAAAAGCAAGAGAATGGACAAAGGGGATGTGTTAGCTGAAGAAAGGGGCTAGAGAGAGATAGTATTTGTTGCTTGCACACCAACAACCTGGGTTTGAGTCCCAGCATACCGTATGGTCCCCTGAGTACCGCCAGAAATAATTCCTGAATATAGAGCCAGGAGTAACCTCCCTAGCATTGCTGGATATGACCCCAAAACAAGCCCTCCCCCAAAGTGGAGAAGCGGGAGTTATAGTATAGCAGGTAGAATGTTTGCCTGGCATGCAGCTGACCTGAGTTTGATCACCGGCATCCCCTATGGTCCTCTGAGCACCACCAGGAGTAATCCCTGAGCATAGAGCCAGGAGTGACCCCTGAGAATCACAAGTGTGGCCCCCAAGCAAACAAAAACAAAATAGAGAATTAAAAGCAGAGCTGGAGACAGTTCAGACTGAACAAAGACACAAATTCGCAAACCGATAACCAAGGTGTGAATGAAGACTCATTTAAGGTAATTTTGACAGTTGAAGTTGGTGTCTAAAGTGCTGACTTTATTGGAGGATTGGTGGGTTGTGGATGGGGGGAAGGGTGGGCCCAAATCATCAATGCTCAGTTATTTTTGGCTCTGGTCTGTGCTCAGGAGTGATTCCCGAGGGTGCAAAGTGGCCATATGTGCTACCAGAATTCAGACCAGCTGGATGCAAGGCAGGAATCTTAGCTCCCTATCTCTCTTGTCTCTAAAGATTTCTTCTTGGGGCTGGAGTGATAGCACAGCGGGTAGGGCGTTTGCCTTGCACACGGCCAACCCGGGTTCGATTCCCAGCATCCCATATGGTCACCCGAGCACCGCCAGGAGTAATTCCTAAGTGCGTGAACCAGGAGTAACCCTTGTGCATCGCTGGGTGTGACCCAAAAAAGCAAAAAAAAAAAAAAAAAAAGATTTCTTCTTTAATTCTAATTCATAATTTCCATCTTTTTAACTCTTTTTTATTTTTTGGGTTTTGATGCCACACTCTTGCAGTGTTCGGGGCTTACTCCCTGCCTAGTGCTTGAGGGTTGCTCCCCGTGGAGTCAAGGATCAAAGTTAGTTAGGGCTTCCACATGCCTACTAGCCAGGTAGGGTGTCTCCTAATAATTCAAATTATTTTAAATTAAATTATTATAAATTAAATTATTTTCATTTAAATTATTTTAAATTATTATAAATTAAATTATTTTAAATTAAATTATTTTAAAAAATCATTCCCCTGTATTGTTGGACTTGAGGTTGAACATTTGGTCATGGTGTTCACACATATTTTGTTGAATTAACTCGAGACTTCAGTGTTTTAACTTCCAACTGTTCACTCAAACCAAGACTGAAATTCTGTACTTCTGTAGCCTCACAACAGCAACAGTAAACGTGCCCCCTCCGCCCCCCCCCCCCCCCACTTGCAGGTGCATAAGGAGTATATTGGGAAAGTGGCCGTTTTCAGAAACAGAAACCAAGTTTCCGCGACAGTAGAAATGGGAATGTGGATGGTCAAGCAGCTCCACTGGACTCAGCCTCCAGCCTCTGGCAGAAAGAGTGAGTTTCACCCACCAGCACCTAGGTCTGATGGAAGGCTCTGGAAAGGCTCAGGCTCTCTTATGTCCAGTGTTTATCATTCTCAAGTTTTCCTTTTCTTGGCAAACGTTCCACCAATGGCTTAGAAGTGTTCCTACATAGAAGGACCTATTCTCCTGTAATTTGCGCTCTAAACTTCCACAGGAAAAATAACTGTGTGTGTGTGTGTGTGTGTGTGTGTGTGTGTGTTTGGGACACACTTTGGGATGCTGGTGGGACTTTGTGGGGCTGTGACTTCCTCAGACCCTCGGGTCCTTGGAACCATTTCTGCAGCCCCACTCTTTTGGATGAAGCTGGATTTTAGAAAAAAACCTACAGCCTGAGAGAGAGAGAGAGAGAGAGAGAGAGAGAGAGAGAGAGAGAGAGAGAGAGAGAGAGAGAGAGAGAGAGAGAATGAAAGGGTTGCAGCAGCGTGGAGTGGGATTAGGCATTTGTTGTTCTAGGAATTGCCCAGTTGAAATGAACAGCTTCCTCTTCATGAGAGTCAGAGAGGCTAGGCTTCATTGCCTTGGCACTGCCCAGGAGACCCCAGGTCACTGTCACTGTCACTGTCCTCCCGTTGTTCATCGATTTGCTCGAGCAGGCCCAGTAACCTTGTGAGACTTGTTGTTACTGTGTTTGGCATATCGAATATGTCATGGGGAGCTTGCCAGGCTTTGATGGCCATACCACCCTGAACATGCCCGATCTCATCTGATCTTGGAAGCTAAGCAGGGTCGAGCCTGGTTAGTACTTGGATGGAAGACCCCAGGTATTACTAAGAAATGCCGGGTAAAATCACAAGATGACTCAAGCTGCCCAGGCCACAGCCACTGTTTGGGCAGGACCCAAGTGCACAGAAGCAGCCCTGGAGTGTGTGTGAGGGCTCGAGGTTGCCACTTCCCCATCACTGGGACTTGAGCTGGCTCACTTGTGCTTTGTAAGGAAAATCTAAGAGAACTTTTGGAAGGGATTTTAGTCCTGAGTCTCTCCTAGAGTCAGCTTCAAGAGTGCACACAGCAGTCACCCTCTGTGGAAGATATAATGTTTTTTCTTACCTAGTCGCTGATTGAAAATGTGATTTGGGGTTCAGTTCATACACAGACTCAAACTCACACAAAGAATGGAAAGCAAAGGCGTTGGAAAACCCTCTTCACTGGCTCCCAGATCTTTTCTCTCAGTCTCTACTTCTCTCTCTATGCCATCTCCTCAGTCTACTAGCCTTAAAAGCTCAGAAGATTTAGGGTTCATGTTCCTGATCCAATCTACTCATGTTTCTCTCCACTAATTCATTAAGATGTCCCCATCTCCTAAGGCCAGAGAGATCACTCAATGGGCTGAGTGCATCAGGAGGTCTAGGTTCAATCACTGCACCAAATGGCCCCCAGATGTAGAATCAAGAGTAACACTTGTGGGGCTGGAACTATAGTACAACTGGTATGCTATTTGCCTTGCATACAGCCCACCTGAGTTCGATTCCTGGCATTCCATATGGAACCCTGATCACCACCAGGAGTAATTCCTGAGTGCAGAGCCAGGAGTAACACCTGAGCATCACCAGGTGTGAACCTCTCACTGAAAAAGAATAATCCTTGAGCATCGCCAGGTGGAGCTCCCCCAAAAATAAAATAATAAAATCATAACTTCATTCTCCTTTCTCACTTTAATTTCTCCATATGACACCCTACCTTACCAGCAGGGTATTTTATTGGTTAATCTTATACTGCACCTGGAACCATGTTTGACTCAAAGAATATCCTCTATAAATAATTTGTTTGTTTTGGGGCCACACCCAGTGATGTTCAGGGATTACTCCTGGCTTTGCACTTAGGAATTACTTCTGGTGGTGCTCAAGAGATCACCTTAATCACTTAATCACTTAACTTCCCGTTAGTAGTCGATTTGCTCGAGCGGTCGCCAGTAACGTCTCCATTTGTCCCTGTGAATTTGTCCCTACGCAAACAAGGGATCACCAGGGGTGTGTAATACCAGGGATCCAACCTGGGTTGGCTGCATGCAAGGCAAATGCCCTTCCCACTGTACTGTGCTCCAGTCCCTGTTTTTTTTTTTTCTTTTTGAGTCACATCCGGCAATGCACAGGAGCTACTCCTGGCTCTGCGCTCAGGAATTACCCCTGGCGGTGCTCAGGGACCATATGGGATGCTGGGAATTGAACCCAGGTTGGCCGCATGCAAGGCAAACACCCTACCCACTGTGCTATTGCTCCAGCCCCTCCAGTCCCTGTTTTTGAAGCACAGGTATATCCAGTGGGGCATCCATGATATTTAATACCTCAGAACAAAAAAGTTCTCTTCAGAATAAAATCTGTTCTCCCTAATTCCAGACTCCTCAGTGTCCTGAGCATGGATCATTCATGTCCAATGAAATCAAACAAAATTATGAGAAAACAGTCTTTTCCCTTTAGTAACACCACATGGGAAGGCTTTCACCCCACTCCACCCTAACGCCAGCAAAGTCCACAGGAATGCAGAGCAAAAAGTCAAGTTCCTGTGTTGCCACTTAGGGCTGGATATGTGGCCTAGCGTAGAGCATTGGCCT